GAGAGACAGACACGGACCCAGCCCCGAGGAGAGCAGGGGGAAGAACACGGTGATCACTCCAACACTTGTCCACGGGCTCCCCGTGCAAAGAGAACTCAGCCAAAGACACCGTCTGTACAAAAAGATGCTCTGGGTGAGGATTTTTCTGCCATCTCTGACAACTTAGATGGAGTGAATTAAAAAGGTAAAGCAGATCTGCAGCTCCAGTGAGTCCCAGCCCAGTGTGAGGGGGGTTGGGAAGGGGTGTGGTGGGTGCAAGGTTGTTCCCCAGCAGCCACATGGGCGCTGGAACCAAAGTCCTTCAAGTTAATTTATTTTTTGAATGAGCCAAAATGACAGGAATGCTGAGGTTGAAAGCACTGGAGTGAGTTCAAAAGACATCATTTCCATTGGGAAATAAATCCCTCACCATTTTGTATAATTAGACAAGGAAAATGAAAAACAATTTCAGAAAGAATTCCCAGCAGCAATATCCAAGGAGGAGGCGGGATGTGCGTTGGGCAGGAATGCGGGGCTGGGCTCTGCTGTCACTGCTGGGCACACAAACACCACACAGCATCTCCAGAGTGGCAGGGGTGAAGGAGCTCCTGGACCACTGACCTGTTGTCCCACCAGGAGCGTGGCTGCGGGTCTGGGAACAGGACCACGGGATGGGGAGCTCCAGAGGCATCATCCCACCCATCACCACCAGCCTCGCTGCATGGCCAGAGCTTCTGGAGAGCCACTGCATCCAGTCCATGTGGATGAACCAATGGAGACTCTGAGTGGGAAACCCGCAGGGAAGGGAGTCCTGCCCCACAGTCCCAGGCTGGCAGTGGGTGGAGAGATGCGACCACATTGCTGCTGCTTCACCTCTGCTCCTCTCACCAACCCAAACCCACCACTACCACCACCACCACAGCATGGTTCCCAGAACGGTGGCAGTGGTCACCGTGGAACCACTCAGTCTCAGGCCGGGGGGACATGGAGGGGCAGGGAGAGGGGAAAGACACCCATGGCTGTGGAGGGAGAAGCCCAGAGACCTGACAGGTTCTGAAGGTCTGTGTACCCTTCTAAAGATCTCCTTCCCTCAGTGTACCCAGATTAAACGCTGCCATCCCAAAACTATCGGCTTCTTGTGTAGTGGTAGGAGGGAGAAATGGCTCTGATTTGGGGTTGTGCTGGGTTTCAGGGATAAAGCTGGGAAGCAAGCGCTGTCCCCACCCCAAGCAGCCTAAATGCAGGAACTGGGGGCAGGCTCAGGGGGCACGTCCCTCCCTCAGACATCCAGTCCCAGGGACAGGGGTGAGGGGCAGCCCCAGCAACGCCGCAGAGCCCGGGAGTGTGGGGGGGTCCTGGCCCAGCCCCACGTCACAGGTGCCATGAGTGGCCGGTCTCAGCTGCCATCTAGTGGGGAGCAGCTGCAGGGCACCGACATCTCTCCGGGCTGGCACAGAGTCTCAGAATCATTTACGTTGGAAAAGACCTCCAAGATCATCAAGTCCAACCTGTGACGGATCCCCACCTTGTCAACCAGACCAGAGCACTGAGTGCCACACCCAGTCAATCCTTTAACACCTCCAGTGGTGGTGACTCCACCACCTCCCTCGGCAGCCCCTTCCAATGCCTGACAGCCCTTTCTAGGAAGAAATTCTTCCTGATGTCCAACCTGGACCTCCCCTGGCACATCTTAAGGTCATTTCCTCTTGTCCTGTCCCTCATTCCCTGGGAGCAAAGCCTGACCCCCAGCTGGCTCCCCCCTCCTGTCAGGCAGTTGTAGAGAGGGATAAAGTCTCTCTTGAGCCTCCTCTTCCACTCTAGCTACAGGCTTGGCAAGAAAGCCACAACCTTACCAAAACGCTTACCTTGTTCTTTGCTACAAAACACACTGTCTAATTTGTGCCTCTCCTAATCCTGCAGCCCACCACAACCACCATCAGCCAACATAGCTTTTATTCCTGACTCAGGTTCTAAGGAAGTTTCAGAATTACTCTGGCCTCCACCATCCGCATTTGCAAACTTCATCACCAGAGGAGAAAATCCATAGGAAACTGACCTCAGTATCTTAATAAAACCAAACACCACTGACCCGTCAGGGAGTTAGCAGTTTCTCCTATTTCCAGCTTCTGTAATACCAAAGAAAACCCAAAGTCAACATAGGGGGTTTATCCAAATTAATAACAAGTGGTAAGAGTTAACGGCGCAATGAGAGTTGTCTGGAGGCTGCTCCGGCTGTGAGATACAGCATAAATCTTCTCAAGTTGTGACAAATGTCTTGGCTAATGCAGTCACATTCTATGTTTAGATCTCACTAAGATGTAATTTGACATTTGGGTTTACTTTCTTCATTATAATTAGGAAACGAACTCCAGTCCACGTTAATCTCTTCACAGTCTGAATTTGCACATGGAATTACTGCCCCCACTGTGCCAAGCCTTCCCCACACTCAACAGTCAAGTCAAAGGGAAAACCAGACATCCTTTCCAGTAGGGTTCTTTGGTTACAGAAACACAGTCAAAGCACAGGATGGATATTTCTAGGAGTTTAAAGGTTAAATCCTTGTCTCTTGTTCAAGGAAATCTCTGTGGAGAGGTAACACACCACACCCTGGTGTTGCGAGATAAGAACCCAAACAGAACAGCCCACAACTCCATTTTTGATGGATAGAGGAGGATATCTGAGGACAAGGAGGTGCCTCATCTGTCAACACGCACCACCTTCCTCAGTAAAGTGCCTCTTGGATCTGTTTCCATATGGGCTGTGTTCCCATGGCTCCCACTCCACACCTGGAAGGCCAGTTTAAGCCATTAGCATTTAAGTGCCATGAAGTGTTGCATTAATGCGCAGCCACAACCCCTGACACGCTGGATGAGCAGGCTGCCCTCAGCTGATGGGCACGATAGAGAGGAACAGCAACACACAGGCGGCACGAAGACCTGCGTGTCTTTGAAGGAGTTCTCATAACCACATTCTGGAACAGGATAATCCAGGCAGTCCTGTACTGGTTGCTCCACAGCTCCTTTCACATGCACAGCATTTTGCAAGCACCCAAAAGCTCTGTCTGCACCTCTACAGAGTGGCTCTGCTCTTGTGTCACCTCCTGGTAACATCCGCAGGTCAACACACAACTGGATGACCATATTCTGGCAGCTCTTGCTGCAGGTGACTGGGTTTCCCATCCCTGCAACAGCAGCTCCCAGCGGAGGTGGGCAGTGGGAAGCAGGTGAGCAGGTTGGAGGAGGACAAGGCTCCGCTCAGACTGGGAGCAACAATGTACATTTTGCTTCTGAAGAAATGGAAAATATTATCTATTTGGTCTCCGGGTGCAGCCAGAATCAAAGCAGGGGTTCATTTAAGAGGGATCAAGACAGCTGGCACCTGGAGCTGGAGAGGGTTATCTCAGTACAGCTTTCCCAGGGCTCAAGAGTCAAGGTGGAGGAGCTGGCTGGTCATCCCAAGCAAAGGTTTCAACAGATGATTGAAAAAGGGAGCAAGAGGCTGTCACAGATTCATCGAATCATGGAATGGTTTGGATTGGAAGGGGCCTTAAAGCTCAGCCAGTCCCAACTCCCTGTCATTGGCAGACATCTTACACTAGACGATGCTGCTCCAAGCCAAGTCCAACCTGGCCTTGAACACTTCCAGAGATGGGGCAGCCACAGGTTCTCTGGGCAAGTGAAAATTCAAACAGAAGAGGTTCAGTCAGGGGACGAGGAGGCCAGGGAAGCAGCCAGGTTTGAGCCCAGGCAGGTTGTGCCCTCTCCTCCCTTGGATGTTCTCAGGTCCCAACCAGGTAACACCCCGAGCAACCTGCTCTGAGCAGGAGGTTGGACTAGAAACCTCATGAGCTCCTGTCCTATCTGAATTACGTGATGGATCTACGATTCCAGTTTGGGACCTGGCTGTAATCCACAATGCAATCCTTTCCCTGAAATGCAGGGCAGCAGCCTCCCACACCTAGCCTCCTGATCTCTGAACCGCTGCATGTTCTAAAAGCAAGTGCTTGATTAAGCCCAGCACGTGCTTTCCAGCACTCTCCGAACAACCCCACGTATCCACACCTCACCTGGCTTCAATGAACATTTTCTGTGGTAAATAAGAACCCTTCCATGGATTTGGGGGGATTTGCTCAAACCAGTACCAGTCTGTGGCAGTGGGCCCTGCTGGGATCTGACACCCCGCTTGCCACATGGACTCCACTCCAACTGCCAGAGCCTGACTCGAGCCTGGAGCACAGACACCCAACTCCAAACCACATGAGCTGTCATGGAACAGCCTGGGCTGCTCTGGTTCTGTGCACGGCTTCTTCCCGTGTCCTGATATGCTTTTGGCCACGCCAAGGAATGAAGGTCACAGGCTGGTGTCTTGGCTGCTTGGTGGTGCTGTGTGTGCCATGGGAGAGCCCCCATGTCAAGCCAGGATGGGCCACACCAGCACCTGCACCCTCCGAGGGACCCGCTTGGAACCGGCCAACTTTTCGAGCCGGCAGGAAGGTTTGAAAACGCATTCAAAAACAAAAACTAACAACCTGCAAAACTCCAGAATCCCTTCCAGAGGTGAGGAAGCCTTTGGCAGGGCAAGAGCAAACACGGGGAACAGGGGCCACGCTCCTCCGCTCACACGAAACGTGCAATTCTCTACCAGACTGAGAAACGGCTGCCAAGGAGTTGCAGGACTCAAAAAGCCCTGGAAATCTACAGCATATTTCCTTCCACTGCTCTTTTTGCCATGTTTTCCTTTCAGCACGGCAGAGCAGCGTGTTTGTGCTGGCCAAGCCTACCCTCCTCCTCTCCACCGCACCTTCAAGCAATTCAAGCACAGGAGATACAGTATTACCTCAAATATTTAACCAAGGGATTAAACTATTCTCTTGGCAGGAGGCAGGAGCTGCCCCACAGATACAGCTCTCACACCGGCTGCCAGGCGCTGCGTGACAGCGGGATCCGCAGCAAACAATCTGCCCTGGGCTACCAGAAGCTCTCCACAATTTTCTCTGCTTTTGGGGTAATATTTCTGCTCACCGGTTCCCGGCCATCCATTGCCTCCATCCACAGCCTCCGGTCTTCTTCCGAAAGCGCCTGCATGGTGATGACGCCCGGCCTGCAGAGAGAAAGGGGACGCTGTAAATAAACTGCCGGATGGAAAGCAAAATAAAATAAGCAAAGATAAATTTCCCATGAGAAGAAGAGGGAAAGAGGACAAGCTTCTTTCTAGCCAAGTCCCAGCAAATGGGGCTGAGCCTAGCCTGACCTCTCCATGGACATCCCTGCAGGTCCTGACCAGGATCAGCCAGCAAGCAGAGGACATCTCCAATGACTGACACACCTTTCCAGTGGGTTTAGTGTAAGAGCTGGATGCCAAATTCCTCCTCTGGCCCTCAGCCTGCCCCGGGCTAAGAAGGTCCATCCAGCAACAGAAGAAGGCAAGGAAGGTAACCAAGGAAGGTAACCAAGCAAGCAGGAGCCCCACACATCCCAGCCCTCCATGTCCCACCACCACCCCATGCACCAGCTCATGGAGGGGACCTTCTGCTGCGAGAAGCATTACATCCCCAGAACGTTGGTGCCAGCACGGCTGTGCCAGTGCCCTGACCCTGCCCATACCCTCCTGTCACAGGCAGCAGTGATTCTGGTCTGTGCACCCCTCCAGCAGCAGGGGAGCACTGCAGGAGCCCTGGTTGCCCCAGGGTGCTGGTCCTGCCCCTGCCATCACACACACACAACAGCCCTGAGCTGCCCTGTAAATCCAGCCTCCAGAAAATGATGGCTCATTTATTGTAATGAGAAGGGGAAAGGCCTGAGCGCTGCACACACAGCACAGGAGCCAGAGGACAGCACTGGTCCCGCCCTCGCCTGAGGGCCAATGCCACCTCCACGCTTCGGAGTGGACGCTACATCCTTTCCATGCAAGGAGTTAAACCTCAATTACGTGCTCTGATAAGCACGACCAGCAAGGTCAGGATGTATTTAACACTCTGGAGAGTGTTTGCACAACCTCAGTTATGGTGCGTGTTTGCACTGAAGCCAGTGTTGTGCTCCCACGCCGTGGGCTGGCGACTCACTGCACCTCGCTTGGCTGCAAGCTGTCAGGATTTCCATCTCCACATCCCAGCTCATCCCACAGCCAGCTGATCCACACACACAGCCCGGCTACTGCTGCACCTCCTCAGCATCACGTCTTTGAACTGGGTCTCCAGCTCCTAAGGGGTGGCTGCATCCCGCGCCACTGCTGCTCCCCCCAGCAGGGCTGGGCAGAGCCCCCAGGCTCAGCCAGACAGTGAGATCTGTTCTGGGTGCCTGCTCTAGCCCTGCTGCTTCCTCACGGGCTATTTTCAGACGCATTAGCAGAGCACAGCAGCTATTCCTGCTGGAGGAGAGCAGGCAGAATCCCTGGCAACGGGGAGACACAGGCACGGCCCGAGCGTCGCGTGGCTCAGCAGGCTCGGGGGGGCTGCTGGTGCTTCTCTGCTCCTGGGGTTTCATCCATGGGAACTATGACACACCTCTGACACTGCTCTTCCCACTCATGGCAAAACAGAAGGCTCCAGAATGGCAGACGAGTCAGAATCACTGCTCTGGGATACCAGGATGCCAGGGCACAAGGTGGGAAGAGTGATTAAACCTTGGAAGCTGCCAACCGCCTGCGGAGAGCAGGAGTGTTCCACAGTGTTCCACAGAGCACGTAGGCTCTGTTCAGAACTAAATCCTCAAAAACTGATAAAGCCTGGGAAGAGGGGTGATTTGCAACTTGCACTTCCCAAGGGTGATTTAGGAGGAGAACGTGAGCTGCACCAACAGTCTGCAGAAGCCCTTTGGTCCTTGATAAGAGCTAGTCCTCTGTTAGAAGAGTAAACAACAACGGGGGCTTTCAAGTGGTGGGTTTGGCCCGTCTTCTATTGCTTTGTGGCACGTACAGGCAAGGAACAGAGGATTAAACCCTCTCCCTGACTCAGCTCCCCATCCAACCCACCTAGCCATTGGCTTTCAGCACATGCAGCAGCTCAGCATTGTCCCACCAGTGGATGCCATGTGCTCAGCCTTGCACCAAGCCCGGGTCCAAGAAAACCAGACATAATGTGCTTGATCTCTGTTAATCCCATTGGTGAGTCAGTCAATACTCACCAGCTTAGTGGTTTGGAAGTTTACTCCCTTTGAAGGGAAGAGGAAACCACTTAACCATTGCCCCATCTGACAGGGAAAATGCTCCACATCCAACAGCAAATACGTTCAAAACACGGCACAAAGCTCCTTGTTGTGCAAGTACAAAGCAACTGGTACCTGGGGAGCTGAATGGTCACTTAAGATAGAGCTTAAGTCTGAGTTTAAGCCACGCTGCTGCTGAAGGCACAGATATCCCAGGCAGAAAGCCCTGGAAGGGCTCTTGCTCAGCTAGGGAGACACAGGAAAATAAAATATTGGGATTTATGTCTCTTTAGCCAAGACATTAAAACAAAGAATTTTAAACCCTCCATTTAGGGTACACCAGAGCAGAGTACCAGCAGCGTTTGGTCCTGGTGTGGCAGTGCTGGTATCTGACGTGCCAGGTTCCCTCAGAGCAGGGCAGAGGTGATAACACGAAAATGTTTGTTCTGAGTCTGAGCAGATAACAAACAACTCCTCTGGCTTCACTTCAAAGTCAAACTTCTTTACCAGCATGAGGGGAGGGGCCACAAAATTGAATTAAGCCAAATTTCCCTTGCAAATAGCTCTGCATTTCCTCCCCCAGTGTTTATTTGCCAGGGCACCCATTGCATCACTTTCCTGAGCAGAACCATCTTCCTGGCTGTGATAAATTTAAAATGCACCCACACATTACGCCTCATTCATAATTGATGTGGCCCATGCCCACGGAGTACCCTGTGCTTACAGCCAGGTCTGATGGCTGGCACTGGATCAGCCTCCTGCCAACACTGTCAGCATCAGCCCGCCTTGAAATACTGCCTGCAGCCAGCCTCATCCTCATGGAGTCCTCAACTGAGGCTCCTGGAAGATCAACTATTTCCCAAAGTGTGTTTGTTAGATTAGGGATATCTCAGCTATCCAGCGATGGGGAAGATATCCTGCTGTGACTTACTTTTCCAAAAGATAAACAAAATGGATCTGTCCTTGTCCCCTCCCCCAACAAATCACCCTGAATACTGGGGGTCATTTATACAGATAATTATTTATACAGGTAATACACAGCAAATACACATTCTGCTGCAGGGCAGCTCCCATCCTCTCCCAAAACCTTATGTGGGATGTACCCAGATCCACACGGAGGAGCCTGCCAATCCCAGCCAGCCCACAACAGTGGTATCGGGACAGCAGGATGCCCTCTTGGATCTGTCATCCAAGATGCACAAACAGGAGCTCTTGTGTCAAACAAGATCAAGGACCTGCTCATTCATTCCTGACCTATATCCTACATTTCCACCTCCAGGCACCAAACCCCTTTGCCTTCTTCTGGGATGCAAGGTGGAGATTTGGGATCAGAAGGAACACATTTCTAAATGGAGTGGGTGCAGGAGGGTGAGACCACAGCAGAATATGGCAAACACTTCATAAGAAAGTATGTTTTCAATATGCTACAATCTAAAAACGGAAGATTTTTCCATATGAGACCACACAGGAAATTTGAATTTTCTCAATATCTCAGCTTTTGTGACAAACAGCCTGGCCTTAAGGAGCTGTGACTAAGCATGCTGAGAAAATGAGAAAGTCCAATAGCTTTTCCTTCTTCCAGAAAAACAAATAAATAAGGAAAGCAATAGAAACAGATAAGAACTTCCAACTCTTATAGCAGCTTATCACAGTGAGACAATCTAAACTGCTGGATGAAAACGTGTAAGAGTGGATTCATAAGAGGGGCTGAGGGCTGAGCAGAGCCGAACGTGCAGAGATCTTCACAGTCCCAATCTGAGCAGAGCAAGGACCCCAGACAAGTCCCCACAGCCACGGGCCAGGGCACCAGCAGTCAGATGTGTACCCAAAACACAGATGAGGAAAGATGGAAATAAGGGGAAGACTGTGTTCCTGAATTCAGAAAGTCTCAGTGTCCGCGTAGAGCTTAAAGCACCATCAGTACAACAACCATCAGCACATTCTGTGGGTCCCTGTGGCCGCTGACAAGGAAAGGAGCCTCATCCCTCATCACCAGCCCGCCTGTGACAACCCCCCAAAGCTTTGTTTTAAAGGTCACTGGAAAGACGACACTGGCAGAGGAACAAGCACAAGTTGAACTGCACGTGCTGTCCAGAGCACCGGCGAGAGCTGCGGACACCAGTAGAGGTGGGGTCCCTGCCAGCCGCCCAGTCTCAGCACAGGGAAGTGGGGAGAAGGTCCTGCCACAGTCAGGGTGGCTCTCAGAGACATGCAGACCTGTCAGGTGCTTACCCAGAGCAAGGCCAACAGTCTTCCTAGGGAAAACCATCTGGTCAGGGGAATGCTTGGCAGGTGCCTGGCAGCTCACTCACTCCAAGGCAACCACGTAGCCATTGCCATGCCAATTCTTCTCTCAGGAACAGTTTCTTTGTGGTAAAAGCTGTCAAACATTGGAATGGGCTGCCCAGGGAGGTGGTGGAGTCACCACCACTGGAGATGTTCAAGGAACAACTGGACATGGCACTCAGTGCTCTCTGGTCTGGTTGACAAGGTAGGGATTGGTCACAGGCTGGACTCAATGATTTTGGAGGTCTTTTCCAACTTCAGTGATTCTGGGATTCTATTCTACAATCAGACTGCCCACAGAGCACAGTGCCAAGACCCCTCAGGAACAGCCCAGGGGAATGGTGGTACCTGCAGAGCTCACTGCCTTCATGAACGACCACGAGACCAAACTCCCCATTTTGAAAACCTCCTGCTCCCATAAAAGCCAACTGGCACGTAGAAGCACTTAGCTTCTGGCCCAGAGCAGTGACCTACATTATCCTAAATGACAAAGCTTTTGTCATCAGTCAAATGAGATACTCCTCCTCCTCAGGCTCATTTTGTAAGACACTGGCTGTCATCCCTGTTTACTTTGTTTACAAACCTGATTTAATATGCAGAGACTGCAAATAAGTTCAGTTAATGAAAAAAGAGCATTAACAGTAAAACACAGTATCCATCACACTGGGGGTGTATTTCAGCCAGACACTAGAACACCATTCTGGAGCTAATTTTGCTGTAACAAAGCAATAAAAAACTTGCTACAGTGAACAACAGAACTATTTGCCAATGCCGAGGCCAGGCTGGATGGGGCTTGGAGCAACCTGGTCTAGTGGAAGGTGTCCCTGCCCATGGCAGGGGGGTGGAACAAGTTGGGCTTTAAGGTCCCTTCCAACCCAAACCATTCTGGGATTCTGTAATTCTGTGACAAGGAAGCAATGCTGTAATAACAGATTAGGCTCCAGTTTTTCATCTCAACAATGCTGAATCATCTTTACAGGAGAAAAAAACCCACATTTTTTCCCCCCTAACAAGCTTAGCTGTTGCTATTTAGGGTGTTATATATAAACTCCAGCCCTGCACCCTATGCCTGAGTACCAGCTTCCCAAAATGCAACACTGACAACAAGCTCGTTTCTGTGCGATGCCTTTTTCGAGAAGGACCGGCCGAGGCTGCCACCTCCAGGCTGTACAGAGATCCAGGAGCTCCAGCTCCCGGCCCCTGTGCCCGTGTCAGCATAGCACCGGGATCACACTGTGTCCCACAGCACCCTGCAAGTCAGCACGGACAGTCAGTGAGACACACACAACCTCGGACACAACCTGTCAGGTCAAAATGAAACAAACTGGAACTAAGCCAGTCCATGCACAGAGAGCTCAAAGCATGACTGAATAGGCTTTAGGAGGGTCTGGGAAGGAAATGGACTTCACATTGTCCCCACAGCAACAAGTGACATGAGTAACTGAGTCACACCTGCAAAAGGGGAGAAGTGCTGTAAGTCAAACCCAGTGCATATGGGAGACAGAGAAGCACCTTGGGCATGTTTGCCTTCATTGTATCCAGACGTCCTGCATGGGGCTAAGGAACAAGACATCAACTTTCTAAGTTCTCTAATAGTAGAGACGATAATAAACCACCAAAAAAAGCAGCAAACTATCCCAAAAAAACCCAGCTTGAGGTAAAAAAGCCCACAGATCAGCTTTCTGCGTTTTGTGAACACAGGCACAGCTCCAGCCAGTCCTCGGGCAAAGATACCCCATCATTCGTGGTCCAACACTTGGGTGGAAAGTGTGAGCTGAAGTTTCTGCCTCTGCTCGGGTCCTTATGCTGGAGATGATCTCCTCCAGCATGAAATGGAAAGTGATGTTTCCAGAGAGGAAAACTCCCTGCTGTCTGAGCCTGGCTGCCCTCTGGAGCAGCGGGATGGTTCTCCCAGGTGAGCCCCAGCACCTCCAGCTGCAAACAGACCCCTCTGCACCATGAGCTCCAGGTCCCCCACGTCCCCAGAGCCTCACAGTGAAGCCAGGCCAGGCCTGGCAGGGTGGCTGCAGGGTGGCACCCACACACTGCCAAGCCCCAATAACCCCAGACTGGCAAGGAAACCATTCCTTGACACATAGGGCTCTGTAAAACAGGCCAAACCCTGAGTGCCAGGCAAGGTGAAGGTGATCTCCAGCAAACCCTGGCACTGACAGCATCACCCAATGCTCTGATGGTGCCCAGATCCATCCCAGGAAGAGGGAGACAGGTTGACCACATCACACTCTCTTTTAAACATGACAAAACCTATTGTTTCCTCTTCTTCTTAGTTTATCTTGGGAATAATCAATATTTTAGATATCTAATTAAAAATTCTGATAACCAAAGTATGCAGAGCTACCTGTACACTGGGGAGAAACAGCCTTTTCTTTCAGGCATCCTGCTCCCCTGCCCTCTTGGACAGGAGCACATTCCTGCAGCAGGAACTTGTACATGAAAGGAGCTATTCCTCAGGTGCCGCTCCCCTGCCATGATTACATGGAGCAGGCGGATTTCTGGAGAAGCTCCTGATCCCATGCCTGGCAGGCTCCAAACATCAAGGGAAGGTTCATTTGCCTCTGAACATGCTACAGAAGAAAACTATTGTGGCGGTTCTATTCTTCTCCTCCCACTTTTAGTTTGATTTTCACATCATAAAAAAATATCCTCAGGGCAGAGGAAAAAAAAAAATCCCAGTGTCAGCTGAAATACTGCAGCTTTCTGGAGGAAAGCACAGCTCCAGAGAGTGGGAGGCAGCCCCGGGTTATCTTATCCCTCAGCCAACACAGGCACAGCTCCATCACCCCAACCCCTCCCTGCCACAGGCTGGCACCGAAACGCTGCCGAAGCACAGGCTGGAAAGACACCGTGGGTTTTTCCAGCATTATTCAACACCTCGGATTTCCATGAGCTGGGGTTTTTCCAAGACCTCCTGGGCATTCCTGCAGAGGGGAGGACAGCTGGACCACTGACAGGCAGAAAACTGGGAGGACACAGACACTGAGTGGCTTTGGAGTGGGCTTTTGTGAACTATGTGAACTTCCTGCAGCGAGGGAGATCCAAGGCAGTGACTAATTCCGTTTGGAATACAAACGCCAGCCTGGCTTTCCTGTTTATATACATAACCCATGCACGATGCTAATAGATATGGTAACAGGCTCCCATTCCTAGGTGCTGCAGAATGAATCCACACATATCTCTGGTTCAGCTGCTATGTGAGAATTCACAGCAGGAGCATTTTACTCCTCCAGGAAAAAGAAGTGAATCGAAAGTGCCCAGAGGCACGAGCCAGACATCCATTATCTAGTGGACCAGCAACAGCCGTGCTCCAGCACAAAAGCTGACCAACACATACCCAGAGCTGGAAAGAGGCATCACATCCCTGCCAAAACACTCACAGAGCATCTTTTCCAGACTCACAAGCATTTCCCTTGTGTGGCCAGAGCCTTGCAGAAGTGCTAAAGCAACATAAAAATCAGAGAGACTTGAGTAAACTCGGCACCTTGTAAACTTAAGCACCAACTCAATATACAGAGAGCACCTGGCTGGGAGAGAGGTGTGATTCCATGGATTAATGCTTTCCATTCACAGAGGATATGACTAAAGGAGAAGAGAGACATGGAAACTGCACAGGAAAGCCACGTGCAGATGAGCACAGCCCTTCCCTACACACGGTCACTGTAACCCCGGGGGTGTCCTCTCGGCACTCACCGATCCACAGCTTCCACATCAAAGCAAAACCTCTTCTCGATCGAGTCTGTTTTCCGCCGCGTGCAGGATTTCAGGGTAACAGCTTCGTCTTCTCCCTGAGAAGAGACAAGATCGCAGGTGAGGCCAAGAACACCTGCCTGTCCCCAGCACCCACCGCTGTCAATGAACAGGTTCAAACCAGGGGGGATTTGGGAACATCACCCTGTTAGAAATATCTGTTTATACCTCTGACATAAGGAGTAGTCTTTTCACTCTTGTTTGGCCCAAAACCTTTCAGGAGGAGCCTTCCCTTCAGGATGCCCTCGACCAAATCTGTGCATTAAGCATCACACAGCCCATGCTTCAGGCAGGCAGGGAGTGCTGAACCACAACTTCTGGGCAAAGTCAGCTTTATTTTCCATTGCTAAATGACACACCATAGACCTGGCTGTCAGTTTTCACTCCAGGCTGCATTTTTGGCAGCATTCTGCACACAAGGACTCTTAACAGGAGCAAACATGCCTTAAAATGTTTATTATATAACAAAGCAACGACAAAATCATTCTCTCATCCAGAGAATGCCTCTCTGCGTCCAAGTTGTACTGGATTTCCACAGGCTGAGCAGCAATCCTGCAGGATCCATGTGCACTGCTGTCCTCTGCTGGAGGAAATCCTGGCTCAGCCCCTGCCAGCACAGACATTTCTCCTGCAATTGTTAAATTCCACTGATGATTCAAAAGAAAATGAATTCTAAAGGAGTTCCTGGAGACGGACACTTTTCTGTGTTCTCTCTGCTGTTCCTGATGACACCTTGGCTGACCACCCTGTTCCCTGACATCCTCATTTTTCTAGGAAATATATTTATAATCACGGAATCGTTTAAGTTGGAAAAGACCACTAAGATCACTGAGTTCAACTGTTCCTCCAGAACAGCCAAGCCCTCCAGTAACCCATGTCCACACATGCCACAACTACACATCTGTTAAATCCCACCAGGGATGGTGACTCCCCCTGATTCTTACACAGAAACATCCCACCCCACCATCAGACAATCAAAACACTCTCCAACACACAGTCCTGCCTCAACATCTCCTCTCCCTTGCTGATCCCTTCTAAAGAGTTTGCAACCATCCAGTTGTGCCAGTCATCCTACCATGTCTCCGTGATGGCAACTATGCCAGTTTTCCTGCTGGTTTCTAGCACCTCCTGTTCCTTGCCCACGTTGCAGGACACACCACGTTTTGGGGGAAGAAGCCCTAACTCCTATGTGACCGTTCTCACATGCTTCTGTGGTTTCTAACATATGAATAAGCCTCATGTCCCAGACAAGGAACCCAGAACAAACCCAGCTCACAGTCCTGAGAGCTTTGTGCAGTGCATCTCCCCAGGGCTCAGCAGAGGCCACCTGCCCCTGGTCCTCCCAGCCTGGCCTGCTGCCAGCACCAGGCTGCTCCTACGTTGCCCAGCTCCCTGTCCAGTATTCAGGGAATGCCCCCGCTTCTATCCCACTAATATCCAGCTCCAGCCACAGCTCAAGGCACAGTCATGAGCGGCAGATACCACGTGCAGTGTCCTGTGTGACCCATGAGCCGTGGGTCTCCTCCTGCAGCACCTTGGCGCCTGCTCCAGCCAGATCCTGAAATTCCCTGCAGCACAGCCCCCAAGTCCCTGGGCTGCTCCACACATGGATGCTCATGCCAGTCATCACCAACAGACCCTGCGGCCCATCCAGAGCTGCCCTGGCACAGGCAGTGTTCCATGTCAGGGTGGCACAAGTCACAAGGCCTGGGTGAGCAGCTGCACTGGCGGGGCTGGCACAGCACTGGAGTGGGGCCCTGGCACAGCACTGGAGTGGGGCCCTGGCACAGCACAGGAGTGGGGCTCCTGCAAGGTGTGAGACAGGCTAAGGGTGCTGCCTGCAGCGCCTGTGCCCCAGGTGCAGGGGGAGCCCTGAAATGGGAAGAGCCCAGATGAAACACTGTGCAGCCGCTGACGATTACAGGGCTGGGATATGTTAATGCTGAGCTCTAATGAAGATGCTCCAAGGCAAGAGGAAATTAATTTTAGAAGCTGCCCTCCCCCCAGCAGGAAGCCATGCGGGAGCCTGTCCAGATCCCAAGGCGCTCCCTGGCAAGGGAATTGTGTTTGCAAACCGTCCCAGCTGGGAATACTCTGGAGGAGTCTATTGTTCCTGTAGTATAGAGGAGCAAAGCCAGTCCTGGATACAGCCCCAGGAGCAGTGGGCACACGGTGTTTGCTGGTCCCCCAGCTCCTCACATTCCCTCAGGGCTGAAGGGAGCTCCAGACTCTCCTGTGGCTCTGTCCAAAACAAAACAACTTCACTGGCCAAGTCATAGGATCATCAAAGAATCACAGAATGGTTTGGGTGGGAAGGGAACTTAAGAGTTCATCTCATTCCAATCCCCTGCCATGGGCAGAGACATGTTCCACTAGACCAGGTTGTTCAGAGCTCTATCCAACCTGGACTTGAATAAGTTACAGGCACTGGGGAAGGAGCAAAATAATGAAGAGGTTCTCTTGTCCAGGTCTTAGAGCAGGAATGTGGGACTGAGAAGCAGGCACTCATGGCACTGTAGTGTGGTGGGTTCACATGGCAAACAAAGATCTCTGAGCTTTGGGGGGGCTTTCTGTCTTTTTTCTTTCTCAAACAAGGTGACAAGTTAATTCCCTATGTGGCACCTGTTCAGTCTGGAATGAATATGCCCCACTTCACTGCATTTGTGTCACCTTGCTATAAAGGTGACAGAGTCTGGCTTCCAGGAGAGCCTGCAGCCAGCAGTGCTGTGTGTTTCCCAGCAGAGCCCCGGGACACCATCCTGCTCCATGCCAGCACTCACCCCTTTTCCTCCTGATTTCTGGTCAAACGGTACCATCGTGATCCGCTTCGATTCCCTCTGGTACGTGCAGTAATGCTTCACCCAGGAAGTCCCAAAGTGACCTACAGAGCAAATGTAGGTTTTATTCCCAGAACCAGTGCCCTCCCATTAACAACCTGCTATGCTTAATGATCATTTAACATAACACATTCCTGTACCTACAGTTTCCAGTTGGATTAAGTGTTATTACCCTCCTTCTATTCAGGGGAAAGACTTTTATGAGGCACTGACAGTAATTCTCCCTACCAGAGAGAACCCGGCTCCCACATTCCCACCTTAATATCCCACCCATTGGGCCAATCCCTTTCTTTCAGGGATTGTGTACCTGCTGAACCAGCCTTCGTGTCCTACACCCTGACAAACCCCTTCCCCAGACTCCCACCCACCGCATTCCCCATCAGGCAGCTCCGCCACCCCAACACCTACGCTTCTCCTGCACGTAGAGATAACCCTCCATCGTGTAAGGGCTGATGTTTTTGTGCTCATGAGGATTCTCCTTCATCTTCTTCATCAAAGCTTCAACCTCTGATCTTGTTCCTTCAAAACGGTTTCTTGTCTGCAAATTAAAACAGGAATGTCTTCTCCAGTGCATGGACCCACAGTGGGCTCTGCAGCACGGAAGCACCACAAGGGGTGGGACTTCAGCTGGGTCCTTACAGCCATGTGGGAAATGGGACGGGGAGCCCACTGACAACAATAGTACAGGTTTGCTTCCTGGGCCTGGATTTAAGCTAAGGGAAAAATATTATCATGACTGGCAAGGGCTTCCAGTACTTAAAGTGGGCTTACAAAAAAGAGGGAGATTGACTTTTTACATGGGGAAATAGTGATAGGACAAGGAGGAATGAATTTAAACTAAAAGAGGAGAGATTTAGATTAGATGTTAAAAAGAAATTCTTCCCTGTGAGGGTGGTGAGGCCTTAGCACAGGTTGCCCAGAGAAGCTGTGGTTGCCCCATCCCTGGAAGTGTTCAAGGCCACGTTGGACAGGGCCTGGAGCAACCTGGTCTAGCGGAACCATGACAGGGGGTTGGGACTAGACGAGCTTTAAGGTTCCTTCCAACCCAAACCATTCTGTGGTTCTATGACTAAAATACACCAAAAGGTGAGTTAGCTTGGGTGGACAGTGACAGCAAGGGGTACATGGCACAGGCACACTCACGTTCTGGATGCTGATTGTCAGCTCTGTCTTGAAATCACTGAAGTCCTTTGCAAGCTCGTAGCCGTGGTGGTAGAATGTGAAAAGCCCCTGCAGAAATGCCAGCAGCTGTGTCGGGGCAAAACGAATGGAGATGGTCAGTTGAGACCCACAGCTGCCCCCAGAGCCGCTGCTGCTGAGGGGAAGGGGCCCTGAAGCCCCCCGGGCTCACTGGTCGGCCCTGGGGAGATGCCCTGCTCCTCATTTCACCTTCACACCTCCCCAAATGGACCCCAAAGCTGAGGCTGTGTTTCCTTCCCCCAGAGCCAAGGCAAGACCCCATCCCAGGACCCCACACACCTCTGTCCCCCTTTCTGCATTACCCAGACCCTGGAGTCACCAGGAGCAGAGCCAGGAGGGGTCAGGCACAGCATGCTGTGCCTCTTCCAACTCTGAGTTACTTTTGGATCAGCTGGTTACCTTTGCAAAAAACCGTAAGGTCTGGCCCCTCCCAGAGCAGCTTTAAAGGATTTAACGCCTGGGCAAAGGTACATCTTGGAAAACACTTTTTTCCTTATTTCTGTCACTTCTGCACTCTTCTTTCCTTGTGAACATTAATTATAATTTGGGTTTTTTTCCAAATCAAAAGTGTTTTTCTTTTAATTGCTCAGGCCCCTCAGCCTAGCCCACCCCAATAACTGTCCCCACAATAAAAAATTAAATGTTGAAATGCTTCCAGCACACGCATGGCCACTAAGCCAATGGCTCTGTGCCCCAAGGCTCCCACAGTGTTTTCCCCCTCAAACCTCCCTCTTTAAGAGGGGCTGTGGGGTGAGGCTGGAGGCCCCCAGCTTCCCCACTGCAGGACAACCCACACCACAGCCCAGCTCCCCATGACTCCCCATTTCACCACACAATCCCCTGGTTTTTGCAGGTTGAGGGGGCTTAAGCGTTCACTTACAGGTTCCACAAACTCAAACATCTTCCTCTCCTGGACCTCTTGCACCTTGAAGACGTATTCTAGAGAGACTTCATAGAAATGCTGTCGAACCTGGTCCACCTGGCTGTCTGCCTGCAGATGGATTGGAGAGGAAACTCGAGCTCAGTACTGAATGGAAACACTTGGCCTTCTGACCAGAGCACACCTGGGTCTGATGGCAACATGGCCATGCAGGACAAATTCAGTTTCAGCCCCCAGTCATGGACTGGACAGATGGCATAGTGATAAATATAAACCTGATTCACATGAACACGCTTCACATGAATCTTCCTTCAGCCGAGAAAAATGTTTTTATGACTCATGTTCTCACCTCCCCGACAGCTGTGCAGAAAACACGCAGGAGAGGCGAGGAAAACGGGAAATCACTGCATACTTGACAAGAAAAGGCAATCCTCCACTCTCTGGAAAGCACCATGACGGGATCTGCCAGAGCATCCCAGGGCAAAGGCAGGTGGCACATACACCTACCACCAGCATGTCACTTTGGTGGATCAGCAGACAGCAAATCCTCTCTGCCTTGAAAGCCCAAATGAGCAAAAATAGGGACATGCCCCAATCCCAATGCCTAAAAATAACCCAGTCACGCACGCAGAGTGGAACCGCTGCACCAAAAGCAGTGTGAGGGACACAAGCATCCCTGGAATGTGTCACAGAATCCCAGAATGGTTTAGGTTGGAAGGGACCTTAAAGATCATCTTGTTCCAAGCCCCTCCTATGGGCAGGGACACCTTCCATCAGACCAGGTTGCTGAGGTGACATTTTGCAAGTGACACTTTGCATAGAGCAACCGAGAGTGTCACTGGGGTTTTGCCCTTACAAAATCCAGCTGGCAAACACCCTCCTGGATGCGAAAAGCAGCTCGTTCCTGCTTCTCTGAGTGACATGCCCATGAAATGTCTCATTTCCCTCGTTGACCTGCCACCAGCTTTTGTGCTCACAGTGTGCAGGCTGAGGGAGTCAGTAACCTGAGTTCTGAAAAGCAGAAAACATGATGCAATCGTGTAAGTCTGCCAGGAGTAAAATGGTAGATTAGACTCTGCATGTTGTTTAACTGGTCAACAGCCAAAGCAGCAGAGAATTCCCATGGTCTCCTCCTCTTCCCGCCTCATCACAGCAGTTGCACATGTGGCTGCTATCACCCTCCAGATGTGGACAGCTAGAGGTTAGGAAACAGAAACCACCAAATCTCCTGCATACAAGCACTCTTGTCTCAGGAAATCGGGGAGTCCAGTGGAGCTCCAGACTCTCAGAAATGAGTGGTGTTAATTCCCAGAAATGCTGCACCCACCAGCACCTTTCCTGTGCACACACCTGCAGCCCCACCCTGAAAGCCCCATGGCCAGCAGGGATGGTGATGGGCAGCCCCCAGGGAGGTGCCAGATGGGGCCAGTGCTCCACCACGCCATGAATGCCACATCCACATTTCACAGCCCTCATGCTGGACACTCTTTCAAAGGCACTCCCCCTTGGTGGGGCCTGAGCCATCAAAACCATGTACACTTCCCAGTGCCTCGAGGAAGCAGGCCCCAGCACCCCAAGTGGGAGCTGGTTCCAGCGGGCTCCAGCCTCCTCCTGCCTTCCCAGAAACAGTCCAAGTCAGTGTCTGGGGTGGGAGATGCCACCAGATGGCACCAGTAGCCAGCACTGCTCCAATGCACCTGCACAGCATCCCACGCACAGCCACTGTCTACAGCCTACACATCCCACACACAGCCACTGCCTACATCCTGCACACAGCCACTGTCTACAGCCTACACATCCCACACACAGCCACTGCCTACATCCTGCACACAGCCACTGTCTACAGCCTACACATCCCACACACAGCCACTGCCTACAGCCTGCACACACCCCACACACAGCCACTGCCTACAGCCTGCACACATCCCGCACACAGCCTCCACCTACATCCCGCCTGCATCCCATACCACATCTCCAGGCAGCCCCGCAGGGCCATGCTCTGTCCAGGGCACAGGATCACACCTCTAAAAGCAACCGTTGTACAGCCATGACAGCCATGAGTGGATCCTTCCCTTGCTGGACAGAATTCCTTCCACTTCCGTGCCCATCAGTATCTCAAACATGAACTAAACCAGAGGTTCAGAGGGTCATTTAAAAGCCATCATCCCCTGGGACACAGGGGTGCTTCCATATGGGAAGTTATTTACAAGCCCAGAGGACAAAGTCGGCTTACAGCTGTATCTGCCTGGATTCTGACCCCTCCTCAGCCCTGATTTGGTGGAAGATGATTACCTGTGCCAGAGGTATTTCTGCTCTCAAGTTCCCAACTCTGCTGGGCATTGTCCCATCACCTGTGTTGTCCTGGCGCAGGAGCCTTGTGCCCACGAGTGCCCCCAGTAAGGGATCAGGAGCACACCAGCACCATGTCCAAAGGCAAGGACACGCATACTGAGGGGACCAACTGCAGCACAGGGAATTTCAAACTTGGAAGAAGTGATTGAAAACTCAGTGTAGTCATCCAGTAAGAGCATTTGGCACCGCAGCAAACCACATCCTGAGTCAGGGATGGCTCCTAAAGCAGTTTAAGGCACTAAGCCTGATCCCTCCTCCCCTGGAGCCCAAAGCAGCACAGCCACTCGCAGAGAAGGAGATCAGACATCCCTGATTTGTGCTGGCACACGGGAAGCCTGCAGCAGAACCAGTTCCCCTCTGTTACACTCTTTAATTATAAACCCTCTCTCCTTTTTGATTGCTATCCATTTTGGGATCTCTCTGATTTACTCACCAAAACAGCTCCATTCCCTTTCATTAAGGAAGAGGGGAAAACCCAGCACTCGCAGCCAGAATGATGGAAAAAATGAGTTTACAGTCAGGAGAACCATTGTTATAAGCTGGGTAAGGCATTCAAAAAGCTCTCCACAGTGACAGCCAGACATGGAAACACGGAGGTTGCTCTCACCTCCTGAAGTTGGGATTCTTTCTTCTTAGAAGACAAGTTCAAGTGCTTTTCTAGGACACCACAATACTTCTCAGTCTCCTTGTCATATTTCTTTTTAGCGTCCTACAAAACAGAACAAAATGTGTGACGCTGAACACAACGGCACCAGATTAGCCGTGAGGACCCACAGCATCCCTGCAGCACATGGCAGGACAGCACATCCCAGGTGGGAGTTAACATGAGACAGGACCATGGCCTGGGGCATCCGCTGGAAGCAGGTGAAGCTGCTTTTATCTGTCAGCATCAGGCAGCTACAAGAAAGCAGCTTATGCTTCCAAAATCCAAGGGTTGGGGGGACCCCTCTTCTACTCCTGGGGCCCAATGCTTGGTAAAACACGCAGACCAGGCCTGGTCCAAAGACAACAGTGAGGAAAGTGCTTTTGAACCAGAATATTACCACAATTTCATATCCCACCCCTGCCAATCCTTGCAAGAGCTTCTCCTTCGTGTCACTCAGGACTATGACACAGTATGGCTGTTTATGGCAGGAGCATTAAAGAAGGATGTCAACTTCACTTTCTTTTGTACCCCCATCCCAACCAGGCAATCCCAACACACCAGTACCAAATCCATGCTGGCACCTGCTCATAACCATCTCCCTTCTGGAGGACTCCTCTTTGTCTTTTGTTTTCAGCTGCATGAGGCAGGGCAGCACTGCTGGGCTGGGCACCCCGCTGCCATGCAAATGCGGCCCCAGGCGCTGGCATGAGCTTCTTGCAGGCAGCAGCAGGTTGTTATAACAACAGGGGAGCCACAGACAGTGGTTTTCATTTCAGAACAAAGGCAGGAAAGAAAGTGGGGGGGTCAGACTGTCTCACAGCCACTCTCAGCCACACTGGCGCTTCCCTGTCCTGCCAGAAGCCGTCTGAGTTCCCGTGCGACACACCAGGGTGGGGAGTGCAGACCAGGGGGTTTGGGTGATTGGGAACCCCTCCAAGAAAATCCTAATTCTTGCTTGGAGTAGGGAAAAAGTTCACTTCAACTGGAATGTGATTTTTGGCCCTTGGCATGTTATTTGGTTGTGGGTGAACTCAGAACACTGAGGTTCTTCCCGGGAGCTGGTTCATCCCCGTGTCCCTCCCACAGTAGTACATCACCTCCTCCCATGCCTGTGCCCATCCCTGCAGTGTGCCAGGTCCTGGCCACCTCTGTGGCTATCACTGTGCAGCTCTGGGCTCTGCTCCTCTGCCTGAGCTGGGGCTCCTAGAGGGGACAGTGGGTCAGTTACCTTGGCAGCCCCGATCTGCTCCTTGCGGAACTTCTCCAGCGGCGTGATCAGCACCTCACTGGCATTCTCGATCTGTGGGCAAAGACAGACAGAGCTCTGTTGACTTGTGCTGCTCAACAGCCTTTCCACAAAAACCCTCCCACAGCCCACAAACGCCCACAGGCCTCACCCCTCCGGCTCTGCACTGGCTGAGGGGCTTGTACCAAACCTGTGAGCCCCCCCAGCACCAGCACTGGCCATTTTCCAACAGCGAGACTCCATTTCTGATGCTTTTCAAGTGTTCTCCTGCCAAGGCCACCCTCCCCTCCCTCTGCTTCCCCTGTGGCTCCACCAAGGGCAAGGGAAGGAGCATTGGGGTGGCAGCCACTGTCACCTCAGTGCCCAGGGTGCCACAGTAGAGCTGTGGGCAGCAGCAGCAGTGCCACAACCCCCTGCTCCCAGGGACAGATGGGGCCGTACCATGCGCATCCGCTCGTCCTCCAGGTTCCGCAGCACCGTGGCAAACTCCTGCAGAGACTTGGCTGGAAGGGACACAGTCAGCATTTAACGTTCAATTTTTAAAGAAAGAGAGAAACTGAACAGGGGGTTTAGCTGTCTGTCTGTGTTTTGGGGGTTGTTGGTTTGGGGTTTTTTTTATCCTCTTTGCTCTCTCCCTAGAAACGTTCCAGCTGCCTATGGAATCAACTGGCAGCAGAGCAACCCCAGGACCAGGTTCCCATCTCCAGAGAGCAACACCCTCACCTCAAACCTGCCCTAGCCAACAGCTGGTCACTGACCAGCCCAATGGTGCAGCACTGGGCTCAGCTACGCCCAGGGCACGAGGGGCAGCTCACCAGCACAGGAACCTGGAGCCAGTGAGAAGCTATTTCTGCTGAGACTGGGCACAAATAAACAAGTCAAGTTAAATCAGGGCTAAAGCTCCTTTGCTCTCCTGGCTCCAGACGATGTGCACAATAAGCTCTAAAAGTCCAGCTGGGGCAAGAGCAGGATAATGGGGAGGGAAGCAGCTGAAGCTGCTGCTCTGTGCCAGGAGAAGCTCTGTGGTGGAGCAAGGCCCAGTTCAGGGAGCACTGCCAGGCTCAGCACTGCTGGTTCCCTGTGCTCCTGCAGCCAGCAGTGAGACTGCTGCTCCTCTGCTTCAGGTCACAGCCCCTTGCAGTGTGCCGAGCCACAACCACATCCAGATCCTGCTCTCCAATGCAAAACATCCAGATAACCAAGACGGTTTCAGATACAGGCAATCTTCTCTGTTTCTTATCTGGCAGTGACAGATTTAGGCCAAAAAGCAACAAGTGATTCCCTGAAAAAGGCTTTGCTGATGTTGAATCAGGAGGAATATGCCATTTTCAGAGAACAGGAAAGCACCGAAACTCCTGGACCCCTTGGTGTCCTCACATGTGTTTCCCCCACTGTGCCCTGCTCAGGGATCTGGAGTGAGGTCCAGGGCACCAGGACTCACCTATGCAGATCTCATCATCTGTTTCAGCGTCGCCGATGCAGCGGAATTTGAACTCGTTGAGGGAATCCGCGAACTTGCGCTTGGCGGCCGACAGGTCTGTGGGAGAGGGGGAGCAGGGAAAACAGGGCTGTTAGAAATGAAAAGTACCCCAACAGCAGGATACAGGCAGCAGGGAAAACAGGGCTGTTAGAAATGGAAAAGTACCCCAACAGCAGGATACAGGCAGCAGGGAAAACAGGGCTGTTAGAAATGGAAAAGTACCCCAACAGCAGGATACAGGCAGCAGGGAAAACAGGGCTGTTAGAAATGGAAAAGTACCCCAACAGCAGGATACAGGCAGCAGGGAAAACAGGGCTGTTAGAAATGGAAAAGTACCCCAACAGCAAGACACAGGCAGAAACGTAATCCCAGCTGGCAAACACCCACAGAGGGACCCATTCAACGGGACCCCCAGCACCAGAGAAATCCCCAAGCACTGCCCTTCTGCACCCACCTCAGGACATTTTGGGGTCCCTGTCAGCAGCCCCCAAAATACCCTACAGTGGATAAAACCTCGGAACACCATGAGAACACCATGGGAGCCTAGGCCTAGAGCCGTGGGGCAATGGCAAATAGTGACAAACAGTGACACTGCCCTTCAAAAGATGGCACTTCTGCCAGGCTCCCGGTCCCGCTGAGGGAAGGCCCCACAGACACGCAATAATGCAGAGGTTCAATTCTTCCCAAGCTGCAGATTCTCTCTGCGATCTGGATCCTATTAAGTTCTTACTCGCAGCGACCTGAGTGGATCCAGGACAGGCTTTTCGAACCGGCCCCGTAACCCAGCACACACAGACACGGTCCCGGGCACCGTGAGGCCACTGGCTCCAAAGGGAAGTTGTGGCTGCCACCACTGCCGGCATTAGGAAGACACAACGCTCAATCCCCTGTGCATTTCTTCACTCAGAGCCCAAAATTCAAAATTCAGTGGCTTTTTCCCCCTTTCCAAGCACCGGTGGAAAACACACTTGCATACAAAGGCCGTTTCCTCTTCTCAGACACCAACAGCCGAGAGATAACCACAATAGAATCCAAGTGTTTTGCTTTTCCCATGGGATAAGGGAGTTGGCAGCTTTCTCCAAGCATTAAAGCTGTTCTCCCAGTATTCCTGCTGACAGCCCTGGGGCTAATCCTGCCCAGTTCAGTCCTGGCTGCCTTTGCACCACTGCTTCCTAAGGCAGCAGAAAACGACCAAGGGCAGGCAGGGAGAGGGAAGGCACCGGGAGCTTTCCCAGTGGAAAAGTACAGAGGGGGGCTTCTCCAAGAAGAAGGTTCACACATAACAGGATTTGCACTTTGCTCCCTGGAGGATGGAATGAGCACGGCTTACACCCTGCCAGTGCCTGGAGCTGCCAGGAATCTCCATCGGCACCTACAGATGCAAGCCATGTGTTTTTCGGGGGCAGCTTCCCCAAGCGCTCCTGTCAGGGTTGAAAAGAGAGACTCGGGGGGTTAGAGGGTTTGTTCCAGCTCTGGGGCTCAGTGAAGGGCACTGGGACAGCCCCGGGCAGCTCTTTCCACTCCCCACCCCGGGTTCATGCTGGTGCTGGGGGGCTTGGGGACTTTCACCCGGTCCCAGAGCCAAGTGGCCTCCTGCCTCCTCTGGAACAATAATGAAGATGACGTTAATGACTCAAGGAGCCACTTCCTCCCCCGCAGCCCCGTGCTGACCAGCAGCCACCAGCCACACTCTCTCCACATATACTGTGGCCTCCCTGAGCCCTTGGTCATGTTACGTGTGACACATTTCCACGTGAACCCGACCACATGACACCCCTTGTGCCCACTGCCAGCTGGGCAGGACCCCAGAGCCGGAGGCTGCTCCAGCACAGGGATGAACACCCAGACAGAGTCAAGCTCCCACAGACCAGGGCAGGGTAACCATCCCTCCTGCTCAGAGTGAGGACAAGGTTGGGGCTCTGAGACCAGGCATTAGCCAGAGCGAAGCCAAGAAGCCCTTGGAGCCAGCAGCACTGACAGTAATGGCCCAGGGTGCTTATAAATAGGCAAGGGAGAGGCATGGGGAGATGGAGATAACTCCTGGTGCAACAGCGATAAAGGATAAAATTAGCAGCGGCATCAGCCAGAAATGGAGAGAGGGGCACCCGTGCCCACCCTGTGGAGCCCTGTCATCCTCCCTGGGACACCATCAAACCCACCCACACCCCAGCATCCCCATTTCCTAAAAGCTGGAACCTCTCAACTACATTTTGGGGAAAAAACCCTCCAGTGGAAGCTGTAAGGCATGGTGAGAGCAAGGCAGCCCCCCCACAGGCCAGCTCAGCTCCTGCGGGTTCTTCTTCCCCAGGGCTGCGAACAAGCAAACCCAAAATCCTACAAAGGCTTGACAGAAACTTCTGCTTCCTCTCATGCACGGGTAAAACCACCCGGACACTGAACATGAGTCACAGCCGGGCTGTGCCAAGGGCTCTGGAAGTTTTCCTTCCAAGTTCTCCACTGGCTTGATCAGTCAAGTGCAACATCAGGGAAAACCACCACAAAAAGCCTGAAAAATCATTCTGCCTGAGTAACACAACCAGCTCAGGTCACAGTTCTCCTCCTCATCTTCATCACCTTCTATGGTTCTCCCTTCCCATCAGGGCTGGTGGGGATGGGAAGATCCCTTCGGGAAAGTCCACTTGACCGGAAACAGGCACACACACTGCAAGCTGGAGGTCCAGCTGCACAGCTACGGCAACCAAGAACCTAAATAAAATGCCCTTTTAAATGTGATGCATCCTCCCTATCCACTGCATCCTCCACAGTCACAGCATCCTCAACATCCACCTCAGGAACAGCAGGAAGGAGGACGGCTCCCAGCAGGACAGAGGGCAGCAGCCTCATTTAACCCCTTTGCCTGTCCCTTCTCTCTCACACCCAGTTCAGGGGTCACCCCACATTCCTCCTCCCTCTGCAGCCAGGGAGCCAGGTAATTGCTGGCTGAATTCCTGTTCCAGCCATACACTCCCAGGCTCCCTCCAAACCCGGCTGAAGCCAAAGCTACTCCAGGCCCCAGCAGCCCTGTAAGGGACCAGCAGCAAGGGAGCACCTCGTGCTCCCTCAGACCCTCCTCAGCTACTGAGAGTCAAATCTTTCTCAGAAGTGGTTGCTGTGGAAGAGGATGTCAGGCAAGGAGCCTGACATGGTTGGTATTTACATAAAAAGCCCCTTCCAAAGGAATTTGGAACTACTGGAAAAGGCTGTTTCTAGAAGGAAGATGTGATTTCACAACAGTCCTTCATGTGTACAGCACCCCGGGCACTACAGGGATGACCCCATCCCAGCCAGGTTCACATCCAGCACCCTGGGAACAACAGGGATGACCCCATTCCAGCCAGGTCTACAGATGGTGCTGCAGTGGGGCAGCCCCAGGGACACACTGCTGTGAGATGGGTCAGCTCTGCTCCCCAGGGCACAGGTGCTGGATCTAACATGTCCCTGGTTCAGATGACCCAGCACATGGAGCCTCTACCACTTTGAAGGAGTAAGTTACACCACAGCCTTGCCACAAGCCACTCTCTACTGGTCACTGGCTTCCAGCTCCTTCCCCAGCTTTATTCCTCAGCTGGACACCTCACCTCTGTGCAACACCCCTGTCACACCTCTCTTTGAGTGTTTAAAACTTTTTCAGGCCTTTCCAAAGGGAACAGAGGTAAAGTGTGCTGAGAGCCTGGACAGATAAAGAGTAGGAGCAGTTCCCTTAAACCAAAATTCATAAGGAGCAGAGAAGAGATTGGAACTCCTCCACCTGCATGCTCCAGATGGACAGCTGGGAAATGTGACCCAGGACACAGAGGGGAACTGCAACACAGCAAAATGAGATGTCGAAAAGACAAATGCCTGGTCCTGCTGCCTAGTCCCGTGTTGGAAAGATCAGGTTGGCCAGAGAAAAGTGAAACTGCTGGCTCAGAGGCCAGGGCTCTCCCCACAGCTGACTCTGCAGCCAGTTTGCTATGTAAGCTAGAAAAAGCAAAAGGCTCAGCTGGGCCCAGGACAGGGGCAGTAGCAGTACGATGCCACGGGTGGTTCAGGTTAAAGATAAACTTACTGCTGGGTCTGACCATGAAGGGTTAATGCTGCTGCAAAGGGGGAGCAGAGGATGCTGCTGCAAGGCAAGCTCCAGGCTCTGGGCTCTGACAGAGGCTGTGCTCACACAGAGCAGGATTTCTACACTTCCTGCAAAGAAAATTGCTTAATAGCCTATATTTAATGTTCAAGTGGACAACAGGAACCAGGACTCCTGCCCCTTCCTTCCCCCGTGGCAGGGAACAGCAGGCTCAGGCTGCATGTCCCCTGCAAGCCCCCACAGAGGGACAGGAGGGTCCCCAGTCCCCTGCTCCTGCCAGCAGTGACACTGCCTGTCCCCATCAGCAGCCCCATGGGCCCAGGTAGGTCTGCCCTGGGAAACAGGCCAAATGCAGGAGCCCTGAGAGAGCAGATCTGGGGGTCACCACCGGAGACCCCCCCATTGGATGCAGAGAAAACAGGACACAACAGTTGGCACCTCTGCAGCCCCACAGCTCCCCAGCCATGCAGCCAGCATAGAGCAACCCCATGGCAGGCAGGAGCCAGCCGGGATGGGTAATCCAGGGAACAGCTGCTCTAATCAGCAGCCAAAACCAGCCGGATTACAGCCCGCCAAGGGTGCTTAGAAAGCAGCAATATGGTGTCTATCCCCACAGCGAGCACCCGGCGAGCCGGGGCTCCCGGCACAACGCCAGAGTGAGCCACTGTGGGGTCACACAACACCTCCTGGTGCCCAGGGATACACAGGGATGGGGGTTGGGAAAGGTCAAAACTGGGAACGGCCAACTGGACCTGACCCATGGATGCATAGGACACTGTCCAAACCTGGCCCTGCAGTTCACACAGGAATCCGGCAACAAGCAATTCATGCCTAAAAATCAGCATTTGCAGCTGCCAGCATCAAATTTTACCCTCCAGTCCCAGCCCGTGCTCTGCAGGGGTTGGCACCAAACATCAGGGCAGCATCATTAAACGCTTCATTTGCTCCAGAAGGTTTAAATCCCCTCTCTGCACTTCCCAGCGAGGTCAGC